GACCAGTAGCAAAATCAGTTACACCGACAGCTACTGCTGTTTTGTCTACAATTCATTGTACTTGTTTCCTCGATTCTTCGCTTTTAAGTAGTTATAAACATTAACAACTATTTGTTTTCTCCATGAAGCACGCTTAAACAAGCTTTATGGATGGTGGATCACACATTCTAAATTAATTTTGAAAAAAGAAAGTTAACAATTTGTAAATTAATAAATTTATCACAATGTAAAAACCCTAATGAAGGAAAGTAAATGATATTTAATTTAAATATGACGTGATTAAAACCATATATCTGCAACGTAAAACATCAATAAAACGCAGGCGTCGAACACACGTAAAATACCGGAGCGCCAACTTTCTGAGCACTGTATGATACGGCAACCGAAGCACATGACATCTTAGCTGTGCCTGGTCCAACAGCCGAACGTATCACTTTACACAAAAAATTAATAAATTCTAAATATATTTACAACGATTTGTTGAAAATATATATTGTATTCGATGTATAATTTTACTATTAAATTGTTGTTAAGATAAAATTATGTTAATGAGGATTTAAAATAGTTGTGAAATCTTAATACGTGGGGAAGGATGTTTCTTTACCGAAAAAGCTCATAACACCCGTGTACTTCATTCTTATTCCCAGACGCGCTATAGAAGTATATTGGTTGAGGTGTCGTTAATAGTCCGTTAGGTCGTGAGGTGACGGTCTTCCTTCCCTGCGGATGGTGATATCCAGCGCCGACCCACACGTCAGCATATTCCTCACCAGGTATCTCCTCTCAGCGAAGTACTTTTCCAGCGCTAAGCTCCTCATTGGGCTAGCTTCCGGACAAGCTCTAAGACTCTCTTCGGACTGGTCTCGCGACATATGCGCTAGGGGAGCACAAAAGAGTAAATGTGTGTGTGTGAGGGGAGCTTGATTTGATTGATTGATTATCCGTGATCCTGGCGCGTCACTGCCATGTCATTGGTCCCGTAAGGGAGAGAACTCGGCCCAGCTGTCTGGCCAGTGTTGAAAACCCTGCCATCATGGGGACTGGAAACTTAGGACCTCCCGATCAGAGGCACTGCAGGGGCGTGATACGAAAAGAGAGGGGAAGAAAAGATTAGGCACGGTTCGAGGCCTATTTGCTACGACGCTGTTCTGGCATTTGCTTGAAATTTATCTGACGGTTGAATACGGACAGATGAAAATAAGGTCAATGGGACACAATTGAACAAAAGAAGATGGGGAGAATAAAATAACACAAAAAAATGGGACAAAACGGAAAAAGCGGGGACAAGAGGGACAAAATTGGACAAGCGAATGTTGAGGCAAAATTGAACAAGGAGGTGTTGAGACAATATGGAACAAGGGAACAAAATTAAGCAAGGAGGGAAACGGAAAAGGGAGACGAAGGGACAAATGGTACAAATGGAACAAAAGGGAAAATGGTGCAAAGGGACAAATGAAACAAATATGAGAAGGGGACAAAGGGGACAAAACTTTCGATTTCTTGTAAAACTAAGGAAGAAAAATGTCACAGCTTCAAATTGCATTACATTTAGTGGAATGTTAAAAAAATTGTAACTTAAATAGATCTATACCAAAACATTTGTAAAAGTAGAATATGTTTACATTTATTGTTAAAAATTGTGTTTTGTGGCAACAACATATTTATCGAACGATTTAAGAGCTCTGGTAAACTAAACCCGAGAGTCCGCTAAAATATGTTTAATGAACTCACGAGTATTTTAACGGGCGAAGCTAGGGATACGCTCTTCGTGCGTTGTTTAGATTGTTGGTTGCTAAGGAGCTAAGCGCGTGTTTACTGACGTAAATAAAAAAATATATTTCGTAAATAGGTAAATTGCTGAAAACATTGAATTAGTTTTTGAGCTTGTTTTAATTATTAGTAGATAAACTATAAATATATCTGGTACCGTTCGTAAATACATGTGTTAAAATATAGCTAATTAAAATCACAACGCTTTGGGTCTCACGCGATAATTGATTCATTCACATGTTCTATTTAGTTACTCTGGATTTCAGCTCATTTTTGTATCTCAGCTCAACGATTTACTAATGTTGCTCACTTACGGCATGATCTAACATGAGAAATACGTAGCTGCAAGGTAATAAAATATTCTTCCACTCGTATATTGAAAGGTGATTGCATTTTCATCTGTTGTTTTGTTTCCAATTGCAAAACCTTGAACTGATGAAAACAACATAAAACAGAAATAACCGTTATAAAATAAACGTATTGAATTTCCGTAACATGCACCACCACATGCCAGAAAATAAAATGGAATACGTTGTTACAATTTGTTTAAAAAATATGTTACTGTCTAACAAAACAAAAACAAAAAAAGGGATTGGCTTAAAATTGAATTTGAAAACTATATCATTAAAACAAAGAAATTAAGAAAGGAATACAAATGCTAAATTGTCACCGTAGAAGGGAAGAAGTATAAATTTGAATTGGGGTTTTCGCTCCATCTGCCCCCCACAGCGCGGGGCTGTAGCCTCTCACTGCACTGCAACGCGCTCCCTTTGATTCCTGCGCCCGTTTCCCCCTCAATGCGCCGCCCTCCCCGTTGGCGTTCAGTTGCCGTGGAGACGAATGCCCCCCCCCTCCCAGAGGCTGTGTATTTTTCGCTCGAGAGTATTAGTGCTTCACCTGTGTTTTATGTTCCTTAGTAAGTGCTGTGTACACATAAATAACCTCCTCCCCCCCCCGGATTCAATCCCGGGCTGAATGATATTGCTTTCGGGTAATGTGCTGGCGATATTTATTCGAGTGCTTGAATGAGATTTAAGCTTTGATGCTGCGATTATAATACTTCTGGATTGGCCCATTTCAATAAATTATTAGCGTTCAATGGGAAACTGTCTGCGAAACGGCGATTTTTTCCAATGGGGAGAAATTTATGACTACTGGGAGGGTTTGTTTCGTTCGAGACTTTCGGAGCTCAAAGTCTGTTGATGCTCTTTCGCGTTTAACACGGGGATTGGTGTGAATTTTTTAGTGATGAAACTTTACTGTCGACTCATTAAGTCACTAGGATTCATCAATGTTTACGGAGGGAAACGTATCGTAAGATGAAACCTCATTTTTCTCTGAGCCCGTGATAAATGGAAGAGATAGAGTAGCAAAACTCTTAATGAATTCAATGTACCTTCAAATTTTAGGGAAACGTGATTAAGTTTCAGTAGGAAAGTTATCAATAGACCCCTTTATACAATGTAATTAAAGTTTCCAATAATATTTTTCTTATAGTATAATTCATTGTACTTCCATATTCAAGCCGTATTATTTTTTCAAAGAGAGATTTCGAGCAATCGTTCTTTTTCTTTTTCGTCAATTTCATCCCCTGGCGTCTGTCGCTTGGGGCGATAGTCCCTTGTTCTTTTCAATTTCGTTCTCGTACTGCTAATTAGTGCTACTTAAAACAATTGAAGTTGGCCGCGAGGCGAAGCCATCAGAGGAGAGGGGGTGGGGTGGGGTGGATGGGTGGGTTGGGGGGGAGCGGAAGCTGCCCGCGGCGAAGCGCGCGGGTGCTGAGGGAGAAGAAGGCGTTCCTTGAAGGAGAATCGGCAACGCTGGCGCCTGAAGCGCAATGCGCGCTGCCAGCACAAGGGCGAGTTGCGCGAAAAAATGAGGATCGTTTGATTGGTGTGTACTTCATTTTTTTCTCGCTACCACTTTCGCAGTATACAGAAAGTTATGCAATGCAGCGCGAAAAATCGGCAAATTAGAAGAAAGCTCTTATTACAGCTTATCTGGCAACAAAGAAGTGGATAAATTCAGTTGCTAAGTTTAGAAAAAAATCCTCTAAAACGTGCAGAATCCATGTTTTGTGGGTCCTTAATACCGAAAAATCGAATGACGGCAAACTGTTTGTCTGTCCGCTAGTCTGTCCGTCTGTGAACAACTTTCGAAAACTAGCGGCTAAACCGTTCAGCCGATTTTCTCCAAATTGATATTCTCCAATCGATCTGGCTGGCGTTGCGGCTCCTTGAATTTGAAACCGATATTTAAATTTTGCGGGGTACTTAACACGAAGCCCTTGGGACTTCTCCTTTTTTTTAAAAAAAAATGGTTCCATCGTTTCTCATTTTGGTTATTGGTGTGTGAAGGATGATTAAGAGAATGCCGCAGGTCGCATGTTCGTTGAAAATTCTGATTTTTCGAAAACTGAACAAGTTCAAAAAACATTTTTTGGAGTGTTCATACAATCAAAATATTAAAGATTTTTTCAGCTGATAAAGTATGTTTTTTAAAGATAGATTTTGAAATAAAGCTATGTGAAATTTTTCAAACATGTGAGTACTTTTCCCGCAATTTGGGGGAAAGTATGAGCTGTTTTAGTATTAGTACAAGTTTTATTACAAATTTATTCACACCCCAATAAAATTATGTCGATGTCTCATCACTACACAAACCCCAAATAGCGCCCAGAAATAGTTTTGCTAAATGTTGGTTTAATTTGTTTGAACCATTGGTATTACTTCATAACATCATAATCAGTTGTTTCCGGGCTTGATTGGTATTACTGTTTTAAACTGCATGGTTATTTTTTCATCACGTGAAAATATAGGGGCATTAGTTTGCAAAATTAAAACACTTTATTAAAGAATCTTGATAAATGTAGATTTTTATTTCCATTCTACGTTACGATTGTATTAAACATTACAATTGTGTGATTGTACGTATGTATTTGAATATTTTGTGTTGGATTAATTCGAGTTTTGCCAGCTACCGGCGTTCCCAGGCCTAGGCCCTGCTTTTATTTATTTCGTGCCAGGGGGAAGGGAGATGTAGCGAGCGTGGCTTATTCCCGTCTCCATACAGAGCTTCACGGCCTGAACGTCTGAACTTTTTCTTCTTTCACACAGCTGTGAAAACTTTGACGATTTGTAAGAGTATTAGAAAGCTTCAGCTTCATTTTCGGTCCGGCTTGATAACGAACCCGGGACTGCCGCATGCTGATTATGAACCACTCCTCCTTACAATACCTAAGCTGTAAAAAAAGAAACAATTCAGTTAGGTCTCTTTTCATCTTTTGATTTCGTGAAAAGGTTTCCTTTTAAAATGAACTAATATGTATTCTTATTTTTTTACACCAAATGCAAGTGCATATTTCTTGTTTGTAGTCGTTCTATGTATATATTCATTTAGACGTTGTTTTGGACAATTTAATAGCATTCCTTAATAAAATATTGAAAAAGACGATCACGCAATCATTTGCCCAATAAAAAAAAGTGAATGACAGTACGATCAGTGAAAAGAACGTAGAGAATATCCTGACAGGCCATCGTGTAAGTTTCATTCGCCAGAAAGATTTGATTTCTTCCTTTGGCCTTCGCCTGAGTAATAAAGTGGATAGCGGTTTTTTGCGAGTTGCTCCATTCTTTTCTCCGCCTCTTCATTTTCCCGTTTCAGCTCGCTTATTGGGGTCGTGAGAGCAGCTCTGTATTTAACAGAAAAGGGAAGAAGAAATCGCCCATTGAATCTTAATTTATCGGCAAGTCGGATTATAGAAGGGAAAGAAAAGACTCATTTGGGAATGATTCACGGCGCCGAGGGACCGCGGCCCCGCGATCCTCAAGGGGGTTACGATCGCTTGCGGTCTCCTGCCCCCGCTCTTCTCTGCCTCCGCCCCCCCCCCGCCCCAGCCCTCTAGGGGAATGGCGCCTCCGGCTGCCTTGGCACCGTTCGTGTCACAGACACTCTTGCCCCTGCTTGCGCCGCATGCGGGCTATGATGGCCTCATAGAGACTATTCGAGGGACTGCTAACATTGATTAAACGATACATTTTTAACACGATTTTTCGCGCTTGTTTTTCGAGTGCGAAACTTCTAACTAACTTTTTCACAGCGTGCGGAACATCGCGATGCTTGTAGCGATGAGTAGCGATCTGTAGCGATGAGCAATTGTCTTTCGTCTTGACATCTTTGTTTGTTATTTACTACCACTACTGTTACGACCCTTACTGGAATCATTACTTTCGCACAGGTAGGTATTTCTAGTTTTTGATATTTAATTTATATTCCTTTGCTTTTCGCTCACGGCGCGTTAAAAACAGCGTCCGCACGGTGATCACGCACGAGGCGAAGTGGACATCCGGGCGAAGCAAGGCGACGAAGAGGCGAGTGCGGGAATTACCTGCTTCGCGCTTTTGTGACGTAAAGTACTATTGTGTTGCAAGGTGCATATATGATAAGTAACTCTGCCCGTAAGAACAGTGCACGTTATGTGCGTGGAGACGGAGGTCTCCCTGCTGTAAAACGAGATCGGTTTTCCGTCTAGATGTCGGCTTCTGTGAGTTCCACTTGCAGGTATCTCCCCCTCCGGAGAATCGCCGGGACAGGCTTCAACCCCCGACTGGTCCCCCGGCGTCTGTGGTAGTCTGGCGCGTAAGTGCTTGCGTGTGAGGGGGGAAAGGGGGAAAGGATGAGGAAGAAATACTCGCGCGTCGTCCTTGGCTCGTTTATTAAGACGTTGTTTCGGCATTTACGTAGCACATATTGCGAGAAGAAAGGGAAATTTCCGAACAACGGCTACTTCTCCTTTAGACAGCGGCGAAATCTGACGTTGCTGTGTAGTTAGCGATGAAAAGTCGTTGGCACTCGAATCCTAGACCTTCTCGGTCAGAAAAGCTGTTCAGTGTTGGTTTTAGTGATAGAGTGATTATACCATATTTATTAGTACACTTTGATATATACAAGCAAAATGTTTTAATGGAGTAATTTTTGTGAAAATATTTTAAAATGCCCTGTTGGATTTCATGTAAAGTATAGACAAAAATTAAAAAAAGTCCGTTTCAAATTGCATACGGGTTAGGTCGGACATCCCAGAGCTGAACAAACCGTGCTTAGAAGCACTTCGCGAAGTAGGCCACTCGGTTTTTAACTTTTCCCCGTTAAACAAATGAATAAGGTTCGCAGGGGTTCGAATCGAGCGAGGTCGATCGAAAAATATAACTTTTTGGGAAACATTGACCAATTTATTTACTCCGTCAACTGTGTCCCAGGAAAGTATTCATTTAGGGTTTATCATACACTCGTGGGTCTAGGCTCCAATATGGAATTACATGTTGGGATGGGGCGTACAGATCAATAATTTATCTTATTATAACCTGTCAAAAGCGTTGTATGAAAACTATATATTTAAAGCAAAGTACGAACATACGAGGACTTTTTCTGATCTCAAAATCATTCCTTTCAGTCTCATATATTTTGAAAGTTCTGAAAATACCTTTCATCAGAATTACAGCATTTTCAACAGCACATGAAAAAATATTCAACTTGAGATGTGAAACTGCTTGTGTTTCCAAAATCAAATTTGTCAGCCCATCAAATAACTTATAATAGTGTAGCATCGATAATGTTTAATACTATGAGTAATGAAATGGGTGATTTTACTGTACTTGGTCAGTTAAAAAAAAAGAAAATGGCTATTTTTGCAAGACAGCATTGATGATTTGTTTGTGATAACAATGTGAAATGCCATGTTTGTTTTTGTTAATGAAAAAGCTTCTATAATTTACAAAAGATCAATTGTGTAACCAAAATGAATCTACCCCACGATGGACACACTAATTTGTAACGTAGTTAAACCTTTCTAATTATCAACTATCTTTAACTCAACTTATTTTATCATTCCCCAAGCAGGGTAGCCATTTGCAATGTTTTTATGATTTTTATGATTTAATTTGCACTGCTATACTCGCAATTTAATTTCTCTAATTATTCACAATTAAATCTGTTGTGTAATTAAATCTTGTCTGATGTAATTAAGATTTCTTTTTTTCTCTTCGTGCAAGTGAACTCAGTTTGCAAACTTTTGGTTAGGACTGTTCTTTCCTAGGAAACCACTCTATTATTTTCGTGAATGTCACAAAAGTCACTTTAATTTTCAGACAAGTGAGCTCTTTTCTGAATTATAAATAATTTCAATAGCACTGTTTCCGAACGCCGAAATAATTCTCCAAGCAGCAGATGTCGCTGTATTTTGACCGATCAAAAGTGCGTGGATGAAAGAAGTGCTAACATGGCTTCTGAACGTCCTTCTGAGGCTCTCTCTAGAAAAGGCTCCGCTCCGGGGTTGGAGAAGGTAGTCCGCGTAATAAAGCCAGAAACTTTGCTTTTATATGAAAATAGTTTTAGAGCATATCATACGTAAATGTTATTATAATGTAGTATAAAAGAGATTTTGATCGCTCATGACCATGCAGTTTTACAGCAATCTTAAATGAAATAATACAAAAGTTTGTAATATTAATTCGAAAGTAAAGTGAGTAAATCAGTGTATAATAACTAGTTTCCATAGTTAATAAACAATATAGTTATTATACATTGGTTGTGTTTGCATACGAGATGTAGTACATCCAAGAATTTAACACATATTAAATTTAATATCTCAATAAAATATAAAATGGTTCTTTCCAGTTGTAGCGGACTGCCTTTTCAAAAGTACGCTCTTTAAATATATACATTTTTTCAATTTGTCACTCGCAAGCTTTCAGGTTGCAGAAAGGAAGTGTATCATCCGCTTCAATGCTTGTGAAGCGTCGGATGAGCGACCTGTCGCGCGAGGCGAGTTGACTTCCCGCGGGGGCACTTTCGACGAGCCTTGATCTGGCCGGCGGAGGCAACGCTGGGGCGAGATCTGAAAAAGCTGGCCAAAATATGACAACGCTATCCAAACTTCATGAAACTTTGTAGACAATGGTTTTGTGGCACGCTAATTACGATTTCAGTGTTGAGATTGCAAAAACACTGATCCAATATGACGGATTAAAAATTAAGAGAACTCTAAAAATGTTTCAATTTTCATAAAAATCATAAAAAACACGGTTCATGGGTTCGATTCAGATTCCAAGGTCAAAATTGCAAAGAACAAATTGGCGGATTCAGTATCGCGCATCAAAAAATGAAAAACATCAAAACATGTTTCAGCATGAAATGCAGAATAGTGGCAATAGAAGATTTTTTGACATTTCAATACCTAAATAGTAGAAAATTAGGTTGTTGAGAATTTCGTTGAAGAACATTTAACGGTTTTCCACTAAAAAACAAACAAATTAATTGCATTATTTGGTTTAAAAATAATTATTAATTAAGTAATTTTAACATAGTTTTTAACCCTTCGTTACTGCGCTGGGGTCTGTGAGACCCCAGTTGACACATTTTTATAATTTGAATCTAAACAGTTGTTAATGACGTGTTAGTTTTGATTGATGTGTAGTTTCATTTTTTAATCTGCCAGAGTGCATGAAAAAGCTATTCTTGATTGCAAGTCAGATTGTTTGCCAGAAAACACGTGTTTTGGAACTGGGGTGTAACAGACCCCACCGCAGCACTGACTTTTTACATTTCCTATCTTGATGGTATGTTTTTCTTCCCTGTTACAGTAAACTGTTTGTATTATACCTTAAGAATGTTAACTAAAGTATTCTTTCTAATATTTCAGGTACTTTGAGGTCGTCCGGTGTCGTTCGTAACGGAACAAGAACGTATTAGATGAAAACGATGAAGACTTTGAAGGGGAGAATCCATTTTGAATGATGAAAACTGCTCAAACCCGAAAGCAGCTGCTGCTCAAGGTAACGTTTAAAATGACTGTGAGGCCTCAGACCTTTTCTGACCGTGGAATTAGACCGTCTGGAAACCAGTCTCCCCCCGTGTAGTGAAAGTCCCCTAAACAAGAACTGTTTCGGCCAGTTGGCTTTTCGGGCAGTTGCCCATTGCGCGCAGCCCGCTTCGCCTGGGTGGAATCCGACAGCTGAAACATAATTGCGCCGACGCGGGGGGGGGGCGCTTACCAATTTAAATCCCTTTCGCTCTTGTCGCGAGGATATCGAGATGGAAGCAAAGGTTTGCGAATATTCGTGTTTTCTCTCCTGCCATCAATAGGCAAGCCAAGGAAAAACTTCTAAAAGGCGAGGCCACGAAATTGAAAAAAGACCCGTTTTTGTGTCATGATGCCACTTGGTATTTGGCATCCTGAAAT